CGAAATTACTATCAAAGTTCAAAAAGCTGATCATATTCATTGAACCACAAGCTAAACTTGTTTAAATCAGGACTGCCTAAGAGAAATGTTCTATCAACCATTCATGATTTGAATTCTGGTATATGAAATCAATTTAAAATTTTTATGGTACACATAAAAAAAGTCATGAGACATTTCTGTTTTATAATAAATAAGGCACTGGCCAACTATTACTCATTAGTATCTTTTTTGAGTTAAGTTATTAAGTCTGCCCATTCTTAATGCCAGTAGAGATCATTTTTGGAATTCTCCAAATACTCTATCAGTGTCTTCTGTCCCCAGGTGATACCTTTATTCTTGTTGGCATCCGTGTAAGAAAATCCAGCAGCCTGACCTGTCTTTCACCTAAATAGACCATAGAGATTTTGCCCAATCTTGTGCTTACCTCTCTTTTCCACACTATGGCACGGACACACTTTTGAACAAAAATCTTCTTTCCCTTCTCAGTATCACCCACTTTTAAATCACTCTTCCATTGCATACAATACAGAGGTTCCTGCTCACAAGCTGGATGTCCCACTCTCTTGCAATTGACTTCTTTCTTCTTTACTATTATTTTCTTTCTTCTATACTTAGTAAAGAAGACAGAAAATAATAGATGTGAGCCTGAGACAATGGTACTAATATTCCTTCAATATTAATTCTTGAAAAAGTAAACTCACTTCTAATCAAGGGGAATAAACAACAACATATATTTAAATTTGCTTAGACTCGATGAGTCCCCCTTAATAGAAAAACGCTGGTAGACATCTCTACAAAAAATTATAACAGAGTATGAAATTATGTTGATGTAAAGAAAATGCCTACCTAATTTATGTGATCATAAAGTAACTATTGGCTTTATTGGTTTCTTTTTTTTTTTTCCCCCTGTAGCAGTCCGAGGAAAATTTCAACCCCAACTGTTCATTTTGGAGCTATTCTAAGCGCACAATGACAGGTTACTGGTCAACTCAAGGCTGTCGGCTCCTGACAACAAATAAGACACATACTACATGCTCTTGTAATCACCTAACCAATTTTGCAGTGCTGATGGCACATGTGGAAGTTAAGGTAAGGCATATACCATAAAATAAAAATACATACAATCAGGATACTAACTGTAAAAGGTCCTAACTTATGGACCAGTCTCACTTCAGAGTTTTTCCACTTTTATAGTAATTCTATTCAGGAACTCGCTGGTGTTCACCCATATCCTCCTAGATGAGTCAGAATTCTTTTTTTCTTTTATCAACGTAGTTCATAAAATAAAGTTTGCTTATAAATAAGACTTTACTTATAAAATTTCCCTTAGTATCCCCTGCTTTTATGTTGTATGAAATGAATAAATATCAGACCTCATGAACAGGGCAAAATAAGACCTCAGTACTACAGCTCGTGTGGTGAAGTTAGGAACCAGGTATGTTGAAGACTAAGGAGCTATGGGAAGGATTAAATCCTGTCAAAATGACTGGTGGGAAAGCAGCCAATAAGCACAATGCACAATGTGTGGTAACACAAAGGGCTTAGCAATTCTAGTATATGTGTAATGAGTTTTGTCCATTCAAGAAGACACTATCTTAATGAAAAATCTAGATGATAGGTAGTTTCCAAAGTCAGAGACGTTGCTGACTTGACTGCATCAGTCTTTTCCCAGCATGACTCCGGCTGTCAGGGTGGGTAAAGAGAATTTAGATTTCAGATATATTTAAGACATAAAAATGTAATGGGGTGGTTAACTTGCTTATAGAGATTGGTAGATGGGATACTAACAAGAAATATACTTATGAATTCTCATCTCTCTGTCAATAAATATAGAGGAAGTATTACTGTCTGACATCTTTTAAAAAGGAAAAACTGTTGCAAGTGTATATCTACCTTTTGCCATTGATCCAAATGGTTTTATCCAAAATTTTCTTTGACATTGTTGAATTTAGACATGGTACAGGTATCCCAGAGAGAGACCAAATGCAAGCCCAGTCACCACCTTAAGAGTAAATTGCCTTAGCTGTGTAAGCACAGTTCAAATTTGGGTTTTTAAAGGACTACAAACACAGTTTGTCAAAGCATTACAAATTGATCTAGCTTAGCAAGATTGGCTACACTAACAAATGTTAGATTTAAACTTGGAATATGTTAGTATGGCTCTGGGATTCTCTTTTTCAGCTTAAGGAATAAATTCAAACTCAGAAAAAATGGATCATATTTGAAGCAACAAAATATCGTTTTGCTCAGTTCATTGCATAACAACTTCTACCCACTCCATTATACAGGAATCCTGACTGTGACCATTATTGTGTGTCGACAAGCGATAAAATAAATGGAAATCAATATTTTCCTTTGGCAGTCAGTCACACAGTATGTATGTCCTGGATTTCTTGTATCACATACGCTTGTGATTGCCTAAGCCAATCTCATTTTGATCTCACAACATGATTTTGACACTTGAAAAACAGAAAACAGGAAGACTGATCATACCTAGAAGTTCAGAAAGTAACGCATTAACTCAAACTCCATCACACTAATGTCTAAAACAGAACATTAATTTATTCATGCACAGTGAGAAATAGAGCAGCCAGTTGGAACTGATATTTATGTTTGCTGGTTGTCACTTTCTAACTCTGCAGGAAAATCTATAAAGGAAACAAAATTATATTGGAGAATTTTGCTTGATGATCTTAGAAAGAGAGCAAGAAGAGTTAGCTCAGTAATCTTGATAGCTATTGCTATTAAACTGTGGTGCCTTGCTGCATAGGTTTTTACTCCAGGGCTCTGCCTGTGCAGATGTGAGTGCCCTTATCTATCATCTGTGTTATCTCTACTATTCATTCAGCACTTCCTTTATTCTTTTATTAACATTTTTTGAGTACTTCAGTAAAGATATTGACATGTTGCCTGCTACACAGTAGGTTCTCAATTAATGTACTTTCCTCCTTCCCATTTGCCAGAGATAGTACTAGATTCCAGCTTTACAGTGAAGCTTCTGGCCCTCAGGGAACTCACATTTTTGAGGGAGAAACAAGGGCAGAGAAGTGACAATGCAGTCATAATTGTGATGAGTATTATAAATGAGGTCTACACTGTAATTTCGGGACACGGAGGGGGATCATCAGTCTAAGACAGGACTGCTCAGAGAGGGCTTATTAAAAAAGCACCCAGCTCTGAAGGATAAGTAGAATATATTTAGTAAGGCAACATGTGGAGAATTTGTGTTGACCACATTCTTGCAATATTTTCTTCACTTTGCCTTGGGTACATCATTCTCTCTTGTTTCTTTTCTTCCTCAGCAACTGATCCTTCTTAGCTTCCATTGTTGGTTCCTCCTCATCTCTATGACCTCTCGTTGTTGCTTTGGCTGGAAGTGTAATCATAGATGTAGTCTAGGCCTATAAGTCTTTTCTCCCTAGTGATCTCATATAGTCATGTGGCTCTAAACATCATCTTGTGATTCTGATTTCTGTCCCCATTTCTTAACTACAGACTCATAGATTCAACTTCTGCCTTAATATGTTCACTGAGACTTCTAGTAAATGTCACAATTCTAGAACTAGACTTTTGGTGCTCTCCCATCTGAGTCTTAGTAAACGGCCACTTTGTTCTTCCAGATACACTGGCCCAAAACTAAATCTTTTGTCTGTCTGTTTGTTTGTTTGTTTGTATTTTGTGTTTTTTTGGTTTTTTTTTTCCCCCATTCATACTCACACCCAATCTTATGGAGCATGTTCTGCCAGAACCAGCATCCGACAGCTTCTCAACATCTTCACCTACATTCAAGCCACTACCACCTCTCTATTTTTTGGTTATAGCCCTTTAATTGGTCTCCTTTCTTCTTTCCTTGGCCCCCTTTAATTTATTCTTAGTATAATGGCCAGAGAGATACTCTTAAAATGTGAATCAGACCTTATCTCTCCTCTGATTCATTCTCAAAAAGCTGTTCTGTAATACTTTTAAAATGCAAATCAGGTAGTTCATACCTTTGATTCAATCTGAAAGACTCATCTCAATAAGAGCAAAATCCCAAATCATGGCTGCATTAACAGCTCTTGACCTCTTCTCTTACTACTCTTCCCCTTGCTCACTTGGCTTCAGCCACAGGCACCTCATTGCCTTTCCACAAACACATTAGATATGTCCAAGTTAGACCTGAAGGTCTCCCTTCTACTATGCCCCAAAGATCCATAGGGCCAACTTCCTCATCTCTTTGTTTCAGTATCACCATTTCAAAAAGGCTTTCTCTGTCCACCCTATTTAAAATTTAAGATAGCCTCCCCACCCCCCACCCCCGT